ATTATATTATTTTAAAAATATCATTAACCAAATATATTTTCTTAATTAATTAAGATAAAAATATTTCCTAAAATAAAATAAATATGTTCTTAATATTAAATATAATATAAAATAAATAAATAGAAATATCAAATAAATCCATATATTATTTTTTTATATCTAAATTTAATATAAATTTCTTAAGAAAATTTTGTAAAATATATTTTTTTTTCAAATAAGGTGACAAATTAAGAGACGTATGTGTTTGTGTGTATAATATGTGTATGTATCTGATGTGGGATGATGTACATATATGTTGAATGTCTGAGGCGATGGAATACAAGGTGTCAGTTGCTGTGTTCTTCGCATCTCCGCCTATCAGAGCCAACCCCATGCACGAAAGCTAGCAGCAGTTCCTCCAGCAGGCTCTGTGTACTGCGCCTGCCATGCCAAACAAAAGCCAGCCGGGCCAGCGGCGGCTACGCGCACAGCAGGTGATCCAGGAGGCTCTGTATACTGCGCCTGCCACAGGAAAGCCAGCCGCGGGCCAACGGCGGCCATCCGCGCAGCAGCTCCTCCAGGAGGCGCTGTGGACTGCGCCTGCCACACGAACGCCATCCGCGGGCCACCACGCGCGCAGCAGCCCCGCCAGACAGCTCTGTGTACTGCGCCTGCCAAGCGAACGCCAGCCGCGGGCCAGCGGCGCAGCAGCTCCTCCAGGAGGCTCTGTGTACTGCGCCTGCCACACGAACGCCATCCGCGGGCCACCACGCGCGCAGCAGCCCCGCCAGACAGCTTTGTGTACTGCGCCTGCCAAGCGAACGCCAGCCGCGGGCCAGCAGCCCCGCCAGACGGCTCTGTGTACTGCGCCTGCCACACGAAAGCCAGCCGCGGGCCAGCGGCGCAGCAGCTCCTCCAGGAGGCTCTGTGTACTGCGCCTGCCACACGAAAGCCAGCCGCGGGCCAGCGGCGGCCACGCGCAGCAACTCCTCCAGGAGGCTCTGTGTACTGCGCCTGCCACACGAACGCCAGCCGCGGGCCAGCGGCGGCCACGCGCAGCAGCTCCGCCAGGCGGCTCTGTGTACGGCTCTGTGTGCTGACGGGCGCAGCAGCTCTTCCGCGCGCAGCAGCTTCTCCAGAAGGCTCGCTGTGATGAGTGGAGCTGTGATGAGTTGTGGTGTGATGAGTGAGGTGTGAGAAGTGGAGCTGTGATGAGTTGTGGTGTGATGAGTGAGATGTCATGGGTGGTGCAGTGATGAGTGCTGTGTGACGAGGTGGCTGTGACAAGTGGTGTGATGAGTTGTGCTGTGATGAGTGAGAGGTGAAAAGTCGCGGCAGGGCGGGCGGACGCGGACGCGGACGCGGACGCGGCGGGTGCAAAGCGAAAAACCAGAACCCCACACAGTGATGTGGGGAATAATTTAAAACATAATAATTAAAATAAAATAACATAAAATCACAAAAAATAAAATAAAATAACTATGATAAAACATAACTATAATAAATACATATTATAATCATATAAATAAAATAGTTAGAAAACACATCGAAAAAAACAAACACAATAAACATAAAATAACTTTAAAAACTGAATCTATAAATAATTAGAAAAATAAATCATATAAATAAATTATTAAAACAATCAAACTAATTAAAACAAATAAATAAAATCAATGAATTAATTAATAGATTTTAAATCAATAAATAATAATTATTTTTTTCTATAAAATGAATAAAATCAATATAATTGATAGACACACGAATAAATAAATGAAGGAATACTAAATAAATAATTAAATGAAATAAGGTGATGCTTTTTCCCGATCTTATCTGCCAAAAGTGCTCTGACACACTAAATTCTTGTATGATTTTTATGTGAAATCGAGCTCTCGCTACAATCTCGCGCACCTTTTGCCAAGTGCTCCGAACCCGTCAATTTTTAACGTTTTTTAATGTGAAATCGAGCTCTCGCTACAGTCTCGTGCAAATTTTGCCAACCCTGTTTTTTGACATTTTCAAGTGCAAACCGAGCTCTCGATACAGTCGTGTGCACTTTTTGTCGATAACTTTTGCAGATCGAGGCCCGCAACCGCGGAAACAGAGACCCTACTTGGGAGACCACGGAAGCCACTTTACCCGAGAAAGCACAGGGTTTTGCGGCCGAGAGCGTTTTCAAGCCGGAATTCACGTGTTCCCGACCTGTTACACTTCCCAACATTTCCCAACTACTTCTTGATGATGATGATGATGATGATGATGTGGTTGACATGATGGTGAGGATGCTGGCCATGACAATCGCCGTAACTCGGAAGTTTTCTAACTAAACTTGCTTTGATTCTGTGTTTCATATAATATTTGTTTTCCTTGAATCTTTTTTTATTAATCTTGTACCTCGATTAGTGTGGGGATACTGTATCGTGTCAAGTTTTCCCAAAATAATTCTGTATCAGTGTAATTGTTGGGGTATGTTGGGGTGGTACGGTATCGTGTCAAGTTCTTTTTTCATACTCTTTTCAGTTTTTTTTGCAGCAGCATTTTTTCAGTTTTTTTTTCAGCATTTTGTTTTTTTCATGTTTTCAGCATTTATGAGAATAATCAATTTATTAATTGATGAATATTTGTTTATTGTGGTGGTCCTCTATTGTGTCCAGCTGTTGTCTGCAGAAACAATTTTTTAAGGTTGTAATCCATCAGCAAAATTGATCTTCAATACCCTCTGGTAAACTAACATAGCTATTGAAAATTGCAATTTATAGTGGATTTTCCCATTAAAAATGGTGATTTTCCATAGTTATGTGGCTGTTTACCAGAGGGTAATTCATGTGTTTGTTGTGGTGGTCCTCTATTACCATACTTGTTTCGGAGGTGAACATGTTCATCATTACCTAAAAAAAAACATTCTTTGGAGCTATTGTGAATTAAATTACTTAGTTTTTATGTAGGATCATCAGGACACCAAATTTCACAAAATATCCAATTCTTTATTAAAAGGTTATGACACATAACACCAAAATAATTTTTCAAGGGGTAGCCCATGAGCAGCATTGATCTTCAATAGTATGTTTGTTGTGGTGGTCCTCTATTGAGTCGAGTTTTCTTTTGAAATCAAAGTTTCCAAAATCCTTCTCTCCTTTCCTTTTCCTTTCCTTTGCCCATTAATAATTATCTTTTTTACTTTCTTAGCTCCATTCTTTTGGAATTCTCAAAATGTCTAATTTCCAAAATGTAGGATGCCTTATTAAAACAGAATAAAAAAACAACGCCCAAACAATTTTTCAAGGGGGTAGCCCATGGGCAGCATTGATCTTCAATTGAAATCAATTGAAAGTAAATTGAAATCAATTGAACATCAATTGAAATCATTGAAAATCAATTGAAAGTAAATTGAGATCAATTGAAAATCAATTAAAAATTAATTGAAATCAATTGAAACCAATTGAAAATTAATTAAAATCAATTGAAAATCAATTGAAAGTAAATTGAAATCAATTGAAAGTAAATTGAAAATCAATTGAAATGAATTGAAATCAATTGATTCAATACGTATTATTCAGTACCCGGTCCCTAAAAAAATACACATTATCAGGATCCAACATTAATAAATAAATCATTAAATTATTCTTCATTAAATCGGGAATTTTCGTCAACCACCTATGCAGGCAAAGAAGTAGTGAAGCCAAACAGTTCATTTGGTGATGTTGCATCCAAGTGCTCGCGTGCACCAACAACCGTCCGCTTTTGGAAGGCTCGGCTCATGCCGACCTCTGACACGGAGAGTTTCGCATAGAGAACCGGCTGGGCCGTGGACCAATGGTGTTTCCAGCCTTCCAAATATTCACAATTGGCGTTGGTATTCCAAATCAACATTTCAAGATTCGGCTTCTCAAATGACCAGTGCAAGCTGTTGGGAGTACCTTCCAGATGAAGCTTCTGACCCCGCAGCTGACGCAAGGAAAGCTCGGCTGGGTTACAGGTTGCGTCCGGGCAGTCTGATGCTGGGCCTATGCCAAGGTTTTGGTAGAATGAACGAATGAACAAATGAGACAACATGTGGATGTTGACGAGCTAGAACGAAGTTTTGCATCCTTGCATCATGTAAAATGCTAGCCATGTGCCATGTCCAGCCATGTGGTTCGTAATGTTTTTTTTAATCAAGGGGGGTTCCCATGAAATTCGTAGGTGTCACAAAACGAAGCTCCTTCTCCAAATCACCAAAGGGGCCTGGCTCTTGCAAGGCTTCAGCTACCTTCACCAAAGACCAAAGCTCCACTATCTGCAGCCATCCCATATTTCTGCTGAAAATCCACCCACATCTGTCCTTTTCATTGCAAGACCTCCACTGAATCCAGCTGGTAAACTGTACAGAGCTGGAAGGCTCAGCTGTGCCCAACTGGTCTATTTGCCAAGCTGGGCGGAACGTCCTGCTGACCTGATGGCCGAAACCTGGGACCTTCTTAGTGGACGTTGGTCGTGTTAAAAAGCACCTAATGATCATCTCCTATCATTGTGGGGTCAGCTATGGCTTGGCTGAATGATTCAGCCATTTTTTATTTCACCAAAGACATGGGGAACTTTTGGGCCTTGACTCCTTTTAGACTTGTCTTTGTTAGAAATCCTTGCTATATCAGTGACATTCAGTGCCAGAAACTGGATCCTGTGTGACCTCCAAGCTTGTCCGATGGTAAATGATGGCCACCGTGCCTCCTTTCATCATCGGAACTGTCGGAGCCGCAGTCTGGAAGCGCCTCGTGATCTAGGCAGGCAATGGAAAAACCATGAAAAATCCAGAGATTTTCCGCATTGAACGTATGACAACAGGAACGTCAGATCATCAACCATCATCTATAAATCTGGGATTTTTCGGTCCAAGGTTTGATTGCCAGGTATGGCTATCATCATTGGAAGGCATCCTGGGAGAATCAACACCGCTGTTAGATGCTGTTTGCAACTTTGCATCTGTCGGTTGAGAAAATCCCCATTCGGAATCTCTTTCATTTGGAATATCCAGAAAGATGGGTAAATCAGTAATAACACCATAGTATTTGGAATGCCCATAGGGCAAACAGTTTTTTTTTTCGCCCCTATCCATTTGGAATTGTCGGATGTTCTTTATGGATATTAATTTGGTGTGACTGATTTCGAAAACCCCGAAGGCTCATGGCGGTTCATCACCCCCCATGGGGCAGCGTTTCGGGGGTCACCGGTGTCACCAGGGTCACCTGTTGTTCCAGGTTCCAGGCGGCCACTGCAGCAGCTTCCTCCTGTGTGGTCCGACTTTGTAGGCGGAGGGAGTCCTGACCGAGGTCGACATGATGGATATCCTCCAGTCAAACATGGCACTGGGAAAAGCCAGCTTTAGTCAAATATGTCAAATGGGAAAATTCCTTGGTATTGGTATTACTGGTATTCATTTTCCATCAATTACTGCTATGAAGCTTTAGTCAAATCTGTGGAAAATGCTGGTGGATTTCCCATTGCATCCATTGCCATATTCCCATTGCCAGTTAACCCAGCGAGCCCCGTGGCCAGGCCTCCTTCCGTAGTTCTACATCCAGCCGACCTCAGAGCTCGTAGCCAGCAGTACACGAAAATTCCCCATTTTAGCAATTCAATCATATTCAGGCACCTCAAACAAACCCTGAAATGGTCCATTTTTTTTGGAACTTTCAATTCTTTCAGCACATGTTGAGGGACCGATGCACCACATCTACAACTTAGGTCAGGTGCTGAAAAGTGCTTCTGCCTTTGTCGTGGCTCCTCCATTAATGGCCTCAAAAATTCACAACCGGCTTCTGGGGCGCTGCTGGCGGCTCAGGTGAAGCGGTAGCACCTCTAATCTTCATGAATCTTCAATCTCAATCTGCACGAAGTGATTTGGGGATTGGTCAAAACCAATCCCAAAACCCTAACATCCAAATAGCTGGTGAATTTATTTTAAATGGATCTTCATCTTACTAAAAATCTTATTTATAGTACTATATGCCATCTGGTTATGACTAACATAGCCATAGAAAGATCCACCCATTTTTAAGAACGGTATGGCCCATCTGTTTCTATGGGCCATCTATACCTTGGCGAACTGTGAATGTCATAACCAGAGGGTAATCCAATAAAGCCCATACCAAAATCCCATGAAATCATCATTTTCAATGGGTAAATCCACGATTTTCCATCATGTTTCCACCAGGTTTCCATGATTTTCCATGATTTTCCATGATGTTCCACCATTTTTCACATCATTTTCCAGGATTTTCCATCATGTTTCCACTATAAATCCACTATAAATCGCAATTTTTGCCCCTTTTTCCGTGCAGATAAACACGTCGTGCAGATCGTGCAGCGCCTCACAAAGCTGAGCCGCCAAGATTTCATCTGGTGGCCTGTCACAGGCCGGTCACGACTGTCATGCCGTTTGGCCCGGGGCTGGGGGATGTTGTGGAGCCATAGGTGATACCATCTGGTTATTTAACATAGCCATGGAAAATGGTCCATTTATAGATGATTTTCCCATTAAAACCTCCATTTATCAGGGATTTTCCATGGCTATGTTAAATACCCAGATGGTATATGATATACCAAAGTTACTTTGGAACTATATAGAACCAAAAAAAAGAACCATATGGAACTATATAGAAACTATGTGATATATGGATATAAATTTCATGGAACTATATGGAACATTATGGAACTATATCATATGTGATATATGATATATATATGATTATATGGAACTATATCTGGTTGGTGGTTTGGTTGAGCCACCCCTCTGAAAAATGATGGACTTCGTCAGTTGGGATGATTGTTCTCTATGGAAAGATAAAACATGTTCCAAACCACCAATCAGATATCAGATATGATATACGATCTATACTGATCTATATAGACACAAAATATCTGGTGCTGCTTGACTAATCGCTGGTCACTCACCAATCTGATTTTTGAGAGAGTTTCTGCCTGGATTCTATCTGGCCTCATTGAAAAGTCAGCCTTGCCATCAGTTCCCTTCACTTTTCGAACGACTCATAACCATCAGTGCCTATCTTTCATCTCATTCTTTGGATCCTCGCCATAACCGTTGAAACTTTTGCCTTTCCCCTGGCACCGGGTGCAGCAAACCAAGGATCATCAAGCTCCAGGATCTCCAGACTTCAGTATGATCCAATCACATCCAATCATCGATATGGAGGTTTCCTAAAACAGGGCTAACCCCAGTCATCATCCATTTTAGTAGGTTTTTCCATGATAAACCATCGAGCTATTGGGGTATTCCTATATATGGAAACCTTCATATCGCCTAGCTCAGGTTCTCAAGATCTTACAGCATTTCATCAACCTTCGCACCAGAACTGGAAGTTTGGCACCTTCGCAGCTGCCTTTGTAGATACGGGCTGTCCTCAGTTGCACAGCTGGCCCCAAGTTTCAGGAATCTGCGCCTGAAAACTCTATCTGAAACTTTTTATTGGCCCAACCCAGCCCAAGCAAAACCCAGAGTTCGTGTACATACAAAAATTTATACAGAAAAAATGTATAGTTAATTGGCTGCTTTCGCCCGATATTTGAAGGAAAACAGCATCATGTCTCCAGTTCGTTTCACGTTCTGCCATACCAAGATTCCACTTGCCATCAGCTCTTTCTACCACAGGGCTACGGGTTTTTTCTTTAGTGCTCCAAGTGCTGTGAAATCTGGGGTCTTTAAGTCTTAATGGTGACATATGATCATTGCTGCACATCTGGATGGATGTTGAGGTTTCATGAGCAGTGGAGCCACAAAGTTGACCGCGACCAAGGAAATCCCACCAATTCTTCTTTCAGATCCTGTGACAACCGTGCTTTGGCCAACAAATGCAGTAATATAGGAAGCCCCAATGACAAACAATCCCCAATTTCAGCAGAAATGGCTGGTATAAGTTTGCCAACCCTTCCAACACTGGGGGCATCCCAGCACAAGTGTCTTTCCTTCCCGTGCCACTTGCATGACAAAGTGAGAGCGCGACCTTTTTGACCAAGCGATTTGGCTCTCATTTCACTCCCTTCATGTCAACCTCAAAGATCAAGTCCTTCCCGGATGGCACCACCTGAAGCAACCATGAACGCGAATCTGATCCGTGAATTCACAATTTGGATAAGGCCAAGGTCCCGGCTCACAAATAATTTGTGAGTCAGGTGATTGCCTAAACATGTATGCAACATCTTGATGGAAGGAGTCTTGAAAAAAAATGGAAACTTGTTGGCAGACCAGATATCTCCATTGATTTTTCATTCAGAATGGCACTCATCGCGTGGCCCCTTGCCTCTGCATCGAAGCCAAAGCGCGAGGGAACATGAACCCGGCGCCGATGTCCGACCCCTAGGATCAAGCAGTTGCTGCTCAGGACTCATCAGATGAAAACGACAACCCAAGTTGATGCAGCCAAAGGGAGCCCAGCATTTTGCCAAAGGGAAATTCACCAAAACAAAATTCGCCAAATATACGGAGGTTTCCTCAAATTAGACTTACCCTCTGGTTATTTAACATAGCCATGGTATAGATGGCCCATTTATAGATGGTTTACCTATTAAAAATGGTGATTTTCCATGGCTATGTTAAATAACCAGAGGGTAAATTTCATCAAATTTCACCCCATGGTGACTTGGGAATCCCATGAAAAATAGCCCTCATAATCCACAACCAAGGCGCTCATGCCCGTCAAGGCCTTAGTCCAGGTGCTTAAGACCTGTTCCAGGTCCACGTTGCCATCCACCTGGCATCGACTCTTGGAAGGCCTAAATGACACGCACACACATGTATATCCATATCTATATAGTATATATATATAATATGTATCCATATATATATATATATATATAACACACATATATATATATATAGAGAGTATCATATAGATATAAATAAATAATATGATAATATATGTATATATATTGTGTATCTATGCACATATATCGCTGCATAGAATATAAGTATTACCCACAGAGTTGTACATGTTTTTTTTAATTCCTGGCATTCTGACAGGCTACCACCCAACCTTTCAGTCGCTACATCTGGACATCTGGAAGTCGTCGTGAGGGCCTGGGGGCCCAAACCCATCCATCTTTCAGCTCGCTTTGGCCCAAGATGCATTGCCTAGAGGCAACGGAAGCATGACCCTTGCCCGGCCTTGCCCCGACCAGCAAAGATCTCCACTGGATTTTCGTCCGATTTCAGGTCATCTCTGCTATGTTGCTTGTTATAATCTTATTAATCAATGGGAATTTCAGGATCCTAAATGGGAGGTACCTCCCATATATAAGGCCTATATAAGGGAATATCCCCACAAAACATGGCCTTATATGGTACAGTACCTTCATTTTAGGATCCTGAAATCTCCATTGAATTAATGGTGTTCAATGTTTGTTCCTTACAATTGATATTTTTTCAGATGGAGTTTTGGGAAGATTTGATGCTGAAGTGAGGTGTCAATGTTTGGCTTGAACGAGGGAGGGCAGTTGTTGTGGCTGGTAGGTTTTTCAATTATGTTTGTTTAAAGATAAGTTCATACTGTATGTGTATATATATATATGTGTGTGTGTGTATATGTATATATATATATGTGTGTGTATGCTATCGAAAAATATGACTTCTATATATAAGCATTCTTATGCTTCCCACTTCCCTATTCGATCCCATCCACGTGAGTTTTTTTCGCTTTGATCACTGTTGAGTTACCACAGTCAATGAGTACCGTGAGGTTCTCGTGCATCTCTCTCATAATGTCAAATCTGGCAAACACAAAGATTACCATACCATTTACTCCTTCAGGAACTATCCGTTCAATGTGTCAATTACTTTCCTCCAAACTTTGTCTTCTTTCTCATCATCTGGTGAAGGCATAGGATGACACTTTACAGATCATCATCTACATTGTGAAATTTTGAACCCTCAATTTTTACACATTTTTCTCTTATTGTAGATAGGTATTTTATCTTTGAGTGATTTGGGGTCTTGTTCAGTTTTCGGGTTCTGGTTGCTTTTCACTTCCCCTTTCCTCTTCTTCCAGTTCCTTCATTGCTTTCTTCAATAATGGTATTTGTTGTGCAATTTCAGTATTGCTTGGTGTATGAAGGGCTTCATCCAGTGAAGCATCTCTTTTTTCTGGTGAATATTTCTTCAAATACTCTTTAACTTTTGTTTCCCTTTCCTCCTGATCCACTTCCTTTACAAATCTATAACCATATCAATTCCACTCACTCCTTCATTAGGGTCTATTTCACTGGCAAAGTTTCTTAGCCTCTCAAAATCATTCAAACTGAGATCAGCTCTGCTAAGGGTCAAAGTATGTATCTGCCTCTTCGAGTTCAAAGTTCATAAGTAAATTCCATTCGTTACAGTACTTTTTCATCTCCACAATTCTAGGAGCACTTCCCCCAAACATTCACGAAGGTTTTCACTAAATAACCTTAATTGGGTTTTTTGAAATCGCCACTGTCCAAATTTATGCACACACTCATTGTACGACATCCGCAGTCAAACTTAGTCATCTTATCTCCATAACTCTATATATATATATGTATATATATATATAAGTATTCTTTTCTGTACGTATTTAGTCTTCTGTTTCACTTGCAGTTTCTATTTCTATCTATTTCTATACCATTGTCTGTAAGTCTATTCTTTTCCAATTCAAATTGTCGTGCTCAAGTTTGTTCCTTTGTCATATTCATACAGTGGAAGTGTCCAACAAACTCATCTTTCAAAACGGCACACTGCTTTCTAAACTGTGTCACTCTTTGTATTTTCATCATCACAGAGTCTCCCATTTGAAAAGACAACATGTTCACTGGTACGCCAATTGGTAGTTCTTTGATTTGTTCCATCTCTGACTATCATAAATCTCTACTTCTTTAAGTATAATTTTTAGTGTTGATCATTTCAAGATACATGGCCGGGGGACATTCAAGAAATGACATCATAAGCAATGTTTATTACAATCTTGAAACAGGTTTCGGTTCAATCAATGAGACCCGCAAGAAAGCAAAGCAACACGACAAGACCAACCGATTAACAGGGTGAATGTGGAAAACTCTGTGAGGAAACATCCCAACAAACATATTTGAAAATACAGGGGTTCAAACTCCTACGCCGCACCATTCGCAAGGTTTGAGTATCAAATTGACATAATGGATATGAACCCCCTAACAGAAGTTCCAGAGGTGAAAGTTCCGGTCGACAGCAAGATGGCCAATGTCGTCCCTATGAAGGAAAAGAACGGAGCAAACGCCTTATCAGAATTGCAGGAAAGTTTCAAGAACATAGGTTTTCCATGGTTTTCCAATGTCTGTTTATAGGGACTTTCTGACCATGCGTTCCAGTCAGGGGTCAGAAAGTTCTAGGATGAAGGCATCACATGAGCTTGTAAAACAACCCAAGGAAGAACTACAAATTGCGATGTCCGCCAGAGACACGTACAATTTTTAGCCAAGGAAAAGAAGAACAAAGCGACGCGACGAGAGAATTTGAAATCTTCAGCGTCAGTCTTTTGTACGTGGAGTATGATATTATGTAAAAAGGATTAAAAAGGAACATCAAGGAACAAACAATAATATTCGCTCAACCAAAAAATCTAAGAACATGTTCGCACGGTCCATAGTCTGCCTGATTTTGTTGAATTTGGTGCTCAACCTCTTTGGGTTTTCCCCTCTGAAAGTTAGAGACCCCTATTCCCCTTCTTGGATGATAAAAGATATAAAAGCTAATCTGACACAATCTGCTGTGAGCGTTCCATTATAGTATCTAGTATAATCTATATGATTGTGTTATGGATAATCTATAATCTATATAAAGTCTATAGTATAATTTATTTATATATATCGAGTATAGTATGATTGGTAGTGGATGTATCTTCCAGTAGTTTTATATTCGGCGAGAATTGTTTGTTGAGGATGTTGCGATCGATTGAATTGATTGTCGGATTGATGTTTGACATCAAACCTCTCTGTTTAATGTTTCAATCTTATACCCTCTGGCATGAACTCCTTACTCTATCAGCTGGCAATTTTTTAAGTAGTTTTGTGTCTGGGTTGCCCGTTGGATTTTTTGGGAAACGGGCTAGGCTAAGGGTTGAAGTTGGCTCTGGCTCAACACTGGCATCTACATATATATATATATATACATAAATCCCAACGACCGCAACAAAACAAACATTGAGCAACGCAACAAAAACACAACAGTCAGGCATTTACAATTGGAACATTGAAGAAAAACACCTCAACCGAACAACTGAACCCTGAACCCTAACTCCCTGAAACACCCATCTATCTTGCCAAGCCCGTGTTTGGCTTAAGACTGGTGGGGGGGGGGGTCCGGAGGGGGGGGGGGTGGTGCACGGCAAGGTGCTAAAATTTCAAAAATAGGTGCTCAAATTTAAGGAAATAGGTGTTTTTTTGAAGAAACCGGGTCGGGATCCAGTCGGGACCCAGTCGGGACCCAGTCGGGACCCAATCGGGCACCAATTTTTGCATTTTTGGGCACCGCTTTTGGCCAGTCGGGATCCAGTCGGGATCCAGTCGGGATCCAGTCGGCCACCAATTTTCGAATTTTTGGCACCACGTTTGGACCTGTCGGGAAGCAGCCAAAATCACCGAAAAACATGCAAAAACACTGCAAAAATGCTATTTTTTATGAATTTGGCTGCCTCCCGACATTGGTGCCCGACTGGATCCCGACTGGATCCCGACTGGCCAAAAGCGGTGCCCAAAAATGCAAAAATTGGTGCCCGACTGGGTGCCGACGGGATCCTGACTGGATCCATAGATTGGCAAGAACCCACTCCCGCACCTATTTTTCCCTTCCCAGACCCACCCTTGCCCCTATTTTCCTTTTCCGCGCACCAGCCGTGCACCAATACCCCCCCCCTCCTGCACCAAAACGGTAAAAGCAGTCTTAAGCCAAACGGGGGTTCTACAACATCTATCATTTTTCCCAAACATCAATATCATTGAATATCTGAGTGATGATGGGGACATAGTTCTAATTCCCAACATTTTAGCGAACCTCAGCTGGAACTTTGCAGTATATAAGATTTCAACTATAGTTACCCAAAAAGATAGAATTTAGTACATTATCACTACTTTAGTACGATTTTACTTTTCTATCTTTTTTGGGATCACTAGAATCGTGATCCTCATCACTCAGAACCAGAACTGGGGTCGCAACACTTGTCCTCTTTCCAGAACCTTTTGACGAAATCACGGCAGGGTTGCAGGTTGCCTTTTTCTCATCTGTTCTTTGTTCTAGAAACCCAAAGATGGCACGGAATGGCAGATTTCAAACATCATCCAAAATCTAGTATCCAAAGATAAGATGAGATGTTTGGGTGACACACAAGTCGTCAAATCCAACTCACTTCGTTTCCGGGAAAATCAGAATTGTTGGATGCATTCGTTTTCAAGCGAGCCTGCTGCTTGTTCCCAACGCCCGGAAATGAAATGGTGAAGCGGAAATCGACCTGGATGACTCATTGCTTTCTGTCATCGCCCGATAAGTGTTGCCTTTCTTTGAAGATTCATGGTGACAATCTATGGTTAATCTATGGTTAATATATGGTTAATGTCGTGGAGATCATTTTTCTCATCTCAATATCTTTGGAGGATTTTCATTTGGAGCTGAGGAGAGCTATGGACAAGTACAAATCGGCTCAGAGCCTGGCCTCGCTTCCAATGCTTGCCTCACTGCTACAGTCGGAGCCAATGTGGCATACGTTGGCCAACATGTCACTCTTTCATTTTACAGTCGCCATAGTTATCTTCTCAAACCATGGTCTAGTCCCAGCTGTAGATTTCTTGGCTTTTGCAGAACAATTTTGTACCAATGAAAAGCCATAAATTGCTGCCAAACTCCAAGGATGAAGCTCCTTTTCCAGCAGTCACAGCTCCTGTGATGAGGGACCTACTGCAGGTGCTGAAATTTGAAGGTGCATAGCATACCTATCTACCCTCTGGTAAGTTAACATAGCTATGGAAAATGGCCATTTATAGTTGATTTACCCACTAAAAATGGTGATTTTCCATAGTTATGTGGCTGTTTACCAGAGGGTAAGGTCCATAGGCAATATCTCCCCAAAATGGTTTTGTCATTGGCTGAAATCATTGAACATAGGCTCCAACAAAATCACTGGTTACCCTCTGGGAAACAGCCACATAACTATGGACAATCACCATTTTTCATAGGTAAATCAACTATCAATGGGCCATTTTCAGTAGCAAACTGTAAACGTTTACCAGAGGGTAATCGTAGGCCCCATGTTCGACAAACCCAATGTATGATGATCTTTGCGGTCCACCGGGTGAGCCTTCCACGGTAATAATCCAAGCACTGCTGGGAGAGCAGAAAACAACAGTTGATTTACCCCACAACTCATGGCAGGGTCGGATTTCATTTACTGGGTAAACTCATCCCATCTGGTGGGATGTGTTGAATCTATTCATATTGGACTCGGGACAATTTTTGCACATTAAGGGGGCTAAACTACACCACCCATGTAGCATGGCAGTAGAAAATGATCAGACTTGGAAAAGGAATACCATGGAATACTGTCGGGTAAACTAACACAAACATGTGGAACACCCACGGTTTCCCTAAGAATGCAATCTACTAATGGTGGGTTTTCCACATTGATGTTACTTTACTGGAGGGTATCATCTAGAACCATCTAGAATCCATGCAAAAATCAGCGTTACTCAGGAATTCTCCAGAGCCACCTTCGCTCTCAACCCCACCAGCCAAGTATATCTCACCCATCCCTCCAGTCCTTTGGCTGGAAGCTCTTGGAAAGATAGGCCATTGGGCAACTGCTGCATGGGCCCCTCGCAGAGCGGCCGCAACATCCAAAAACAGGACACTGAGATCACCTGAAAAAGAGATCTCAAACGGTCATACGAAAGAAAGGAGGTGTGTCATCAAAAACTATGGGTTAACTCAGCAACAACGATACATATATGCACTGTGCATAGAATATGGATGTTGTATATAAATATATATATATATATAACATATTATATAACATGTATATATGTATATAGGTGTCGGCCCAAAAGCCCCTTCCAGTGGTACACCGGACCTAGCAAATGCTTGGGCGGGGTTGCTGACTTAGGGATTTGTCCCCACCTTCCTTGGTTGGCTCCTCACCTTTCGTGCAGCCATGGATCTGACACTGGAAACAGACATCTTACGAGCAATTGATGGGGCACATGTTTCGGTGATGTGTGAAACAGCTTTCAGATACCCAGGAGTTTCAGTTTGCTGCTCAACAATTCATAGAGCTACCTTTTTCACTTCGGTTGATTTGAATCCAGCTCTTGGTTCAGCAGTCCTTCTCAATTTCCAGAAGCGTACCATTGGTGGCAAAATCTGGTTGGAACCTTCAGATGGGTCTCATTTCTTCCAAAGGCAAAACCCAGATCTCACGAAGCAATTGACTATGATTGAGACGTGTGCAGGGATTGGAGCAATGGGAGTGGGATTCAGCCAATGTGGCATTGACACGGCATGCTACAATGATTACAACCCCAATTTTTGCCAATGACTCCGCACCAAGACAAATGTTCCGGTAGTTGAGGGCAACATGACCAGCCCCAGCACGATCCATGCAGTGCACTGTGCAGCACCCAGTGCACAGTTCATTTCCGGTGGTGTGGCTTGTCAACCCTTTTCAGCTTTGGGAGACCAATTGGAACAACATGATCAGCGCAGTGAATCATTCACAGGTTTGCTTACCATGGCATACTTTTTCAAAAGCTTGGTGATTTTCATGGAATGTACCAAAGAAGCACTCCAATCAACATGGGCTCAAGAAACGTTGAACAGGTTTTGCCTTCAAACTGGCTACATGTGTCAACAGGGGTTGTTGCAGCTTCACCAGATTTGGCCTGCTTACCGCGCCCGATGGTGGGCAGTACTGTTCCATCCAAGCCTGCATGTACAGAGCATTCCGCCTGTTCCAAAGATGCATTTCGAGCCGAGCATTGTCCACTTATTGCCATGCCTGATGCAATTGACTCCAGAAGAAATCGCACAGCTTGAACTGAGCATCCACGAAACTGCAATGTTCAGCGCCCAACCCAAAGGAATTCTAGGGAGTGTGATTGACTTATTCAAACCGATGCCAACAGCAACCCATTCCTGGGGAAACCAATGCCAAGGTTGTGCTTGCGGCTGTCGATCAGAAGGATTTGCAGCATCACGCCTTGGTATGGGGGGGGAAATTCTTTCCAATCAATTGCGTTTTTTAGCCATGAGACATTTGCATCCGCAAGAAGTGGCAATCCTGTGTGGGTTGTTTCCAAGTCATGTTTCCCCACATGCAGCCATTCCATTGAAGTTGGACCTTGCAGGAGTGGGACAACTGGCATCCCCCATCCAATCCACGTGGATTTGTGCCCAAGTCATGCATGCAATGGGGATACAAGGTTTGGTGGATCCCCAACCAACACCACACCAAAGATTGGGGAACCTGTTGAAAGCTTTGCTTCAAGAAAGAGACCAGTTGGTTAAAAGAGATACTCCTACCACATCCATGCAACTGTTCACGCAGGGTTTAGAAAGCATGTTTGGGGATTTTTCCGCAGAAGAGTCACTCACCCAAGAACTTGCCCGCACGATTGATCACTTCGACGCCCAGGATGACAGGTCAGAAAAGGATCAGGCTGTCGAACCGAATGCATCACCGGTGAGGCCTCCAGGGCCAGAGCATCCGAGCATGTCTTGGGAAGGATTTGGCCGAGTCCCTGCATCCGAGCACCAAATGAGTGAAGCCAATTCTAGTGCATCCGCTGTACAGAGAAGATCAGCCGAAGCTGACCATGCATCCGTGCCATCATGTCCAGGTTTGTCAGTCAGGTCAGCCAAGGGTCCCATCCGGTCAATGTCCAGTCCCCAGGAGTTGCATCATGTACCAAGTCATGAACCCTCCCATGAGACTTTTCATGCCATGCCACCTCTTCCAGTAGAGGCAGGCCCCACCCATCCCCATGCAAAAGCAGAAATACCCGACCATGCACACAGTGCTGACTTTTCAGCACGAACCATAGGTTCTCCGGCCATGACACGCGTCCACCAAGGCAGTGACGATCACAGACAAATCCAAAGCATTGTCAGGCATGTCGACCCAGCCAGCATGAGCAAAGATGAAGGCTCCCAGACCAGTGGGAGAGAGCAAAGCAATCTCCACCACCAGAACCCCAAGCCTAGCTTAGCTGCAGTTCCCGCCCATGTCCCTTTTCATGCCAAGCCCCATCTCCCAGAAGATGAGGGCCCCTCCCAGCCCTTTTTCAATGCAACAACACAAGAAGAGAACAGAAACCCAAAACGCAGGCGCATGCACGTAGCCACACAAGAGGCTTACAGTCCAGCTGGAGGTGTTGCAAGTTTTGCAGCCAAAGAGAAGGAGTGTGTCAAGGAGACCAATCCACCTGAGCGTCCGAAAGCAAGGAAGCCACAGGCTTCCGATGCCATGTCAAATGCAGAAGATCCCGTGCCTGCCGTCAGAGCGGAATTGGAACGAGAGCCAGAACCTGAGGCCAGTATTCCAGAGCATCCGAAACATGAGCTGCCAAATGCCACAGGAGTCAAACATGAGGAGGCCAAGCCAAAGTCAGTCATCACAGTCCTCGTTGGCATGATTCATGGTAACGTGCATGAAGTACAGGTAGTCAAAGGCACCACCGTAGGGCAACTTGTCTTAGCTGAAGGTAGAATGATCGATGAGAGTGTCACATGGAGACCGACGAATGCGATGGGCCTCCCAGTACCCATTGCAAGTTTGCTTGACCAGGATGATGTCGTTTTCTTGAGCGACATAGCACACCCGTTGCCAGTCATCAAGTTTCATGAACATCAATTTGCATACGGATGCCCTGACAAGCAGGACCGGCTTCATGTCCTATGGAACCAACAAGGCTGGGTCGCGACTGATGAGATGACCTTCTACCTTCGATTGTTGTAAGACTGGGGATTACCAACAGCACCGCCAATTGTAGCTTACAATTGTTGTGACCTCAATGATTCATTGGCAGAATGGGTACTCACAGTCATAGAAAAGGCACACCAAGCACAGAAACAGGTCACCATGCGCACAGCCATACTGTTGAATCAACACTGGACACCGGTCATGATCCAAGCTTCACCTGAAGCACTGGCCATCCACACGACACCTGCAGGTCAGGAGTTACTCCAGACATTGCCAGACATCGTATCTTTTGATGAAGCAGAATGGCATTGTGACACGGTAAGGTCCAAGTTTCCTTTTGACTGCGGGTTCCAAGCATTTGCCTGGCTTCAGGGGTATGCGTCCGGAGGCATTGCAATGCCCATGTCAGTCATCCAAGCCACAGCCATGCGACATGAGTTTGCCACGCACTGCCTTCATCAGGATGTCACTTTTCCGTTTGCATTGGGGGGAGTACAGGATGACAAGCATGTTCCAGCCTTGCAAGCTTTGGTCGAGACACATGGAGTTTCTCCACTAAGGTCGCAGTCGGTAGCAATGCACTTGATCGCAGTTTTAGGTAGTCAAAGCATTGGCCACACGTTGCAAGCCCCAAAGCCATGGAAAGACTTGAAAACAAAAGCCAACATGCAGAAGCCACCAATCCAGATCGTCCTCACAGATGAACTGCAAGCAGCAGTGGCTGACAGAGTCAAGCATGGACAAGTGATTGGCAAGCGCAACAACCGCAAAACTGTTGCTCAGGCCAAGGCTCCTATCGTCCTACGAGCCGACAAGATAGCAGTCCCCGATGCCATTTTCCAGCAGAGTGATGGTGTACAGATCGGACAGCTCACAGTGCATCAAATCCAAAGCAATGCCAAAGGTGTAGTAGTAGTCAATGTACAGGATGCACTGCCGTTCTTCCAACTCAATGAACCAGTCAGCTCGGAAGGCGTTGCCTTATTGATCCTGGATCACCAAGATGACCGCATTCCTGATCATAAGCAAATTGTCAAGTTTCCAGCTCACTTCTGTGACACTGATGAGCCCATCTTGGTCACAGCAGCTATGTTGCAGATTGGAAGCAAACCAGTGCAGAGACATCGCCCTGACACTTGCGTGAAAATTGATGAAGTTCCGACTCAGGTTGTACGTCTGCTGACCTACCGTGACCAAGCCAAAATAGACTGGGCCTCAATCGTGGAAGGGCCAATGAAAGCACTCCTTACATTGGAGAATCTGGCATTCCTAGAGCAAGACCAAATCTTGGACATATGGGATCGTCAATATCTGGACAAGTCCTTCAAGAAAACGCCAGCAAAAGATGCCTACCTTTTTGCCGCCACACTCCGATTGAAAACAGGAGCTGCCCAAGAGCTCTTGGCATTGAGCGGCAAAGATGGACTTTACAGTGAGCCGAGGACAGACAATGGAAGAGCACCAGACTCCACTTTCAGAGTCATTTGGCTGCCCAGGAAAACTTTTGCCGAAGCCACTCTCATCAACCAAACAACCCATCAGAAGTCCTGGCTCGTGCGAAGTGGAGACCGACTTGGCTTGCGTGTCAAAGAAGAGGATGCATCCGATGTCCATATGCAACACCGCCCAGAAGTTAGCTACTTAGATGGTACAACAGTGATGGAGTACAAAGTGGGGCCACTGCCATGGGGTACGACAAAAGTGGGCCTTCAAAAGGCATTCAAACAATGGCAATGGCCAGCAAGGCCGGGGCAACCACAAGGCCAATCCAATGATGGGGTATTTTGGTCAGCGCAAGCTACACAGCACCCATCCCACTGGGTCTTCACCATGGCGCATGGAGATGTCCTGATATCCCATAAGGATCCCTTGAAAGCTGCAAAGACCAACAAAGAGAGC